TGCGTGCCAGGACAGTGACGGAATTCGCTTTTAGAAGATTTATGCGTTCAAAATGTACAGTCTCTCTCTTTACCACCGATACGGATCAACGACTCCGTTCTGCACTTCAGCTTCTCGTCAGATTTTCTGTCCAATCAAATGCTCTCTAGAGTCTGAAGTGGTCCCGCCCCCCGACGTTATAAAAATCACCTTGCCTCAAAGATTTTGCCTATTTTAAAAAGGGGTGAGGAGCCACTCGATATGTCTCGCCCTGACTTCCTGTTTCAGTTCAAATTACGTCGAATAACGCTTTAAGGCACTTCGGAGACTTTAAATCGGTTTAATCGCTTGTTTGGATGATTGGCATTTATCAGCATATGCACAAATGTGTGCACTTTTATAAATCTGGTGGGAACCTGTTTGGTTTCACCTGACGAAAAGCCATAGGTTCCTTAATTCCTGCTAAATTTGCACGTTTGTCCGCTAAAAGGGGATTAACCTGTTCCTTTTGCTTGTTGGCGCCCGATGTTCATGTTGAACACGAGCTACCCTGTTCCATTTGCATTATGCATGGAGCCTGAAAATGACACGACCTGCGCGCTGGATAAATGCCATCGTGAACTAGCGATAGCTTGATTTTTTTTTTCCTCAGAGGGACACTTAGCAGTAAACATCCGGTTGTTGATGGAATGGACGATCTCTCTGGTTCGGACTGAGAGAGAGTGGATGGCTCAGCACCATATCTCTCTCTCTCTCTCTCTCTCTCTAAAAAAAAAAAAGGTCCTTTAAGGACTTATTTTGGCTTCTCTGTTGTCTCAGTAATAGTTGCAGGGTCACTGCTATGGTTCTGAGGGAGAAAAAGTGAGTAAGTTTAGCCAGGAAGACCTCCCTTCCCTGAGTACACATTCTCTCACACTCACACACACACACACACACACACACATCCTGCTAGGCCTCGGCCGATAGAGCGGATAGGATTCCTGGAGATTCTTGGAAAGACTGTTCTTTTTTTCTTTCTTCCTTCCACAGTGAAATTGCGACTTCTAAATATGCGGGCAGCAGTCTGGGGCCGAATCAGTTTTTGTATTTAATTCAGAAGACGCTGTAGGTTGCTCTCCGTGAACCCAATTCAGCGTCGAGTGTTGGCGTCTCTCTACAGCGCCGGCTTCGACCCGTGCTAATTATTCAGCGTTTTTATTTATTTGCGTCAACACGCGGGGATAAAATAGAAGTGCTGGAACACACCACAGCTATTTAAAGGGTTATAAATAGAGTTTTCCTACACGTTTGGCGTTTCTGGAAAACCTAACGCGATTCCCTCGGTTCAGTTCGGACAAAAACGCTTCCTTTCACAATCCCAGCCTTTATGCTCTGTTTGTCACATAAGAGATGTACAGTAAGCAAGTGGAAAGAGCTTTTAAACCAACCGAATGGCAAATGGACCAAAAGTCTCAGGTGTGAAAGCGTCCGAAACGATTTAGGGGAAGTTGAAATTCATCCATAAAGGTGGTCAAACCAGCCATAGCTAACATGCTAAGGCTTGGGAAAATTGCTGACGAATGGACCCGACTTAGTTTTCCTCACTGACCGAGACAACAAGACGTAAACGGGTTAAGTCTCAGAACGGTCATTGCCCTCGAGGAGAATATTTTGCTCTTCTTCTGAATCAAACTCGTCCACAAGCGGGTTGAGAAGCGGCAGCTGCATTTCAGAACTTGCACAAGTCAACTAATGAATATTAATGAGCACGGGAGTCTGCTCATGAATATTTATGAGTAGTTGGGCGGCCTCTGTTTAAAAAGAAAAGGCTGAGAGTTTGAGAGGGAAAGAAATTGCAATTAGTACGTGTTTCCAAAGTCACTCAGGAATAAAGCAGTAGTAATAATAATAATAATAATAATAATATTACTACTTCTAATAATAATAATATGTTGTACCTTTTAATCTTTTAATTCTTGTGGTGGACTCTGGGTTTTCAGCTTGATTCAGGCCTTGGGAAAGTTCATTCTAAACCACTGAGTGTTTTCGTAACACAAAGGAGCTTCCTTACCATGCAAAACAGTATTCAGCCTTTTCTCTTCTCCCAAAGTGCGACTCATTGTGCCATTTCGAGTCGGAAGTCGTAACTGCACGTTCGTGCAGAAACAAGATTTCCAACAAAAAACCATGGTTTCATCGGGTCTTTCGGTTTTCTTCCCGTGCCAGGACGATCGTGAGTTTCAGACGTTAAATTCCGATTGGTCGTTCAAAAAGAGGCCAATGTAGAGGTGTTTTGCTACGTTTCGAGATTTAAATGAGTCAGGAGTTTTTCTCTATTTATTTCCCACTTTGTCGTATGTCCTCTTCTTCCCCACTCCAATTTGCACCAAGAAATCGTTATGAAAAAAAAAAATACCCCCTGTCTCTCTCTCTCTCTCTCTCTCGCGATAACACCGTCTCGTTTGTGGGATAAAGACGTTGTTGCTGACAGATTTGCATCTGCGTGTGAGCAGGGTGCAAGTGTTATCACTACTGACTAGGGGGAAATAAAGATGTTAACGTTGCTGGATGTCTAAGAAATAAAGCATTTTTTTCTCCAAGATAGGCTTTCATTATCAAACCTTAAATGAGCAAATCATGTCAAATTTGCAGTGAACAGAAACCGAGACCGAAATTTGCTATTATTAAAAAAAAAAAAAACCCTGTTCCATAAGTCTAAACCCCCAGAAGTAAATCTGTGAAGCATTCAGGCCTGTGCGTAAATGCTGGAGGTTTTTCTATCGAAGCAGTAGGTTTTGATTTGTTGTCCTGTGAAATATGCAGCTCTTGGCGCAGCTCAAAAGAGCATCTCTCCGATTTATTTTATTTTTTTCTTCTCGCTCCAAAGGGAGGAGCGCATCCATCTTGTAGTAGTTCTTCAGAGGCTGGAGGCGTGGGCGAGACATATTGAGGACACTTGCGAGGACGTGACTAGCCTTCCGGCCGCCTCCTTTGGCTTTTTCCCCGATATTAGCGAGCGGTGATGGAGAGTCGCTCTGACACTGCCCACAGTGGAAGTGTTCTCGGACGCCGCTGCATGTCATTACAAGTTCAGCGAGTGGCAATCGAGTGTGACAGCAAATCGGTTCAGTTCCTGCTGTGAGCAAAATGAGATTTACGCACTCAGGGATAGACGGAGCTCGGCAAAGCTTGTGGGGTGGGGTGAGGGGGGATTTTGCTTTTTTTTTTTTTGTCCTTGCCTGGTGGTACGAGTGCGCATGCACTGATTTTCTTTTAGCAATTATTAACCAATCCTAAGCTCCTCCAATGCCTGGTTTCTACTGCTATCTATGATGAACATCATGACAAATGTCTCACTGGCTGAACTGATGGTGTTAAATTTGTGCCAAAAGAATGAATGTAACGTTTTCAAGAAACGTCATATAGATGTATGCAACGAGAGAAGAAGAACACTCTGAAACTGAAAATGGTGAATTCTGTGGCAAAAATATAACGTGGTCTTCATGATCTAATCTTTGCTAACGGTTTTTCTAAGCGTCCTTTTCGCTAATCGTGGATTACGAACGCGCTGCCGGAGTTTTGGTTTACGCTCCATTCTGGCACGAACCTCTGGTGAGGGCGTGGCTTAACGGAGACGAACTCTCATTAGCTAAGGAGATTTGGATCGACAGCTCCCTGAACCGGAAGTAGAGACTTCAGTGGCACGAATTTAGGAGAACGTTCCGGATGCGCTTCTGCGTCTAGTGCTAGCGTTTACTTTGTAGCGGAAATGACTTCCTTAGTCCGTGCATTAGCTCGAAATTAATGTTTGAGGTTTGGGTAGTCTCGCACGAGCGGTACGGAGCGGCATCGCCATCATCCTCGTCATCATTCGTCATCCTCCTCGTCTGGACACTCTAGCTGTTGAACTAAATCTCACTAGCCAACGAGAGGAACTCGCTGTTAAGCCCCGCCCACATGGGAGGTGGATGTTAGAACTGTCGACGAAGAACGCCGTTTATTTGAAAACCGTGTTAGATTATTTATTTATTTATTTATTTATTTTCGAGTTCACTGTTTTCAGCTTTGAAGTATTTATTGTATTGTATTGACTTTTAGTGCATGCAGAGGTGCTTGAATTGTAGCTTACACGTAAAGGAGGAAGAAATTATTCACACACACACACACAAAGGCAGCATATGAGGAGGGAGCTGGAGCTTGGCGGGCCGTACCATCTGCTTGCCTGTATGTGGCATAGGGGAATTGTGTTCTTGCCAATTCATCCGTCTTTCTTTAGCTCAGGCTGAGCACAAGCAGTCAGGCCTGAGTAGTAAAATCTTTTCATGAACTCCGCCGGTAATAAACCCGCTTCTGTTTATATTAGCCGTGTTAGTTTCCCAGAAATCAGAGTGGTATTTTCCTCATGACCAAGAATGTCGGTTGTGGTTTATTACTCCAGACTTTCTGTATATTAAAGCTAAGGCCAAACAAACACACACACAAAAAAAACACCCCCCATCACACTCGCACGGTGTACTGGAGTGTATTCCGTGCCTGTTGTTTACTACTTCTTTTTTTTTTTTTTTAGTTTACACATGCGCTAAAAAGTAACGGAAGTCTGTTTTTGTTTTGAAGAAAGAGGTTGTCCAAAATGGCCGCTCCTGTAGCTACACAGTAGATTTGTTCAGCCACGAAGTGTCCTAGAACAGAAACATCCCAAAGTGTTTTATTTCTCTTATACCACAGCAATTTGACCTAAATAAATAAATAAATGCATTTTTTTTAAAACCCCTTTAATGTTACATTATAGTCAGTGTTATGGGACATCCTACAAGTTAGTTCCTGTTGGTGTTGCGTTCTAGAAGTTTCCACGATTTGGCTTTTAAGTTCATAATAAAGACGACGTGGCATGTTAGTGAGAAATGTTCGCCTGGTGGAAATTTCAGTTACAGAAAGTGTTGACACTGGAGACTCCTTCCAAAACTGTTAAATAAAAATCTCCTTAGAGAAAACCTCTTTTTTTTTTTTTTTGGATGTTTTTTTTTCTGTTAAATAACACACTGGGGCGCATGGTGGCTTAGTGGTTAGCACGTTCGCCTCACACCTCCAGGGGTCGGGGGCTCGATACCCACCGTGGCCCTGTGTGTGAGGAGTTTGCATGTTCTCCCCGTGCTGTGGGGGTTTCCTCCGGGTACTCCGGTTTCCTCCCCCAGTCCAAAGTGTCCATAGTGTACTCCCCCGCCTTGTGCCCGATGCCCCCTGGGATAGACTCCAGGATCCCCGTGACCCTCAAAAGGAGCAAGTGGTATAGAAGATGGATGGATGGAGCAACTGTTGTATTAATAGTGCTAGATTGAGTTGGTTGTCTGCTTATGTAAATAGTTACTGTTGAGATAAAACAAACATCTTCTGACCAATCAGATGTGAGAATCCAGCAGCGCTTTAAATCCAGTATGTGCAACTTTTTCATTGGTAAATGGTAAATGTGCACTTGTATAGCGCTTTTATCCAAAGCGCTTTACACTGTGTCTCATTCACCCATTCACACACTCACACACCAATGGTAGCAGAGCTGCCATGCAAGGCGCTAGCTTTGGGGTTCAGTGTCTTGCCAAGGACACTTCAGCATGTGGAGTCACCCGGGCCGGGAATCGAACCGCTAACCCTACGATTAGTGGACAACCCGCTCTACCAACTGCGCCACAGCCGCCCCATGGCTGTTATTTATTAAGAAACTCAAGCGTTTTTTGTTTTCCTGCATGGCGCTGACAGATGTTTAATGGCAGGTCAAATTCCAGCGTATTCCGATCGCACAGCTCACTATTACATAATAATCCCGGGCTCCGCCGGCTTCCCCTCGTCAGACCTCGCGCTGTTCGAGTGCGTGCGGGTTTGAAAAGCAGCCAAAAAGCACGAGCTGGCCGCTTCACTCTTCACACTCTACACACGCTACACACTGCTCCTGCTGGCTTGGTGTGTAAGAGATTCTTGATCTAATCCTTTGTTTCCCGTTTTATCTCCAGAGGATTGGGGTGGAGGAGGGAGGGCGGGGTGGAGGAGGGAGGGAGGGGGGTTTGAGGAATCCCGGCCCTCGCCAGCTTTTCTAAAGAGCAGGAAATGATTTCCTCTCGCTCTCGGCCTTCTGTGCATTTCAAGCAGAGCTCCTCGTACATCACTGCCAGTGGAGGTTTCGTTCCCGGGCCTGCTCCATGCTCAAGCCTTTACTACGTGCTAACCTGCCATGAAGACATCAGTATTGACCCGATTTTCATTTTTGCTCAGACATTGCAAACAGTCTTCTGGCAAGAAAGGAGCGCAGACAAAACAACTCGTTGTTTACTTCATGCTCCGGGCCGCCTCGGTGTTGAAAGGCAGTTCAGCGTTGTAGATAAACCCTTCAACACCCAACACACCACCCCCCCAACCCCCCTGGCGTCTGGGGAATGATAAATTGCTATAATTATAACCGTGCTCTTATCAACACTGGCTGCGGCTGCACGTGCCAAAAAATGTCACAGGCATGCCGGTTATTTCTCTCTCTCTCGTTTTGTTTTACAAGCAGGTCTGCGTTTGTTTCTTTTTTTTTTTTCTTCTCCCCGTTCTGCTTTGAGAATTTTATCATCAGCCGGGTGTGAGCGTAAGGTTAGCGCACTGCGTCCTGAACTGAACCGAGCTAAACTTTCATCCTCCAACCTCTAGCGAGTGCCTTGGGATATACAGGAATTTTCCGCCATGACTCACACCGAGATAGCACAAGAATGAGCTCAGGAGTGAAACGAAGTCTCTCCGTCATCCTCGCCGGCGCGTCCCGACGCCGTGCACAAAGGCGTAAATATTTTCCACACGTACAATCTCGGCGTAATCGGGTCGGGTTTAGAACTGCCTTCGGGATTCCTCAGGTCACCGGAACGTCCCACTTTGAGCCGTGCCAGTGGTTCTAAATGTAGCACGTCGAAGGAGTTTGTCATTATGAAAACGTGTGTTGTGTGTATCGATGTGCGTAAGTGTTACAGAACATCATTTTCAAGATGTTTTAATGAGGTTAAATTAGTAGAGATCTTTCCTCTGATTCTCGCCTCTGATTGGTCAGCGGATTTGAACCAATCAGCTGATCAAATCACAGGTATATGTTAATAAAATTTTTAAACAGCAGACGTGTAAAGGTTATGAGTCGGCATCTGAAAACTTTACAACGATATTTCATTTCCTCCTGCTGTCTGAACTTCTTCCCTACGACGCTGGAAACGTACATTTCACCAAGACTGAAACGATGTGAGCTGCCCGTGAAAAGGGAACGCTCTCGTGTCTGAAAGAGTGTAGCGCTACTGTAAGCAAAGCCAGAATCGGTCACAGTTTCGACTAACATGTCTGTATGGTCTAACCCTGTCGCTCGCATTTCAGGTTCAATGGTCCGATTCGTCGTCTACGGCTGTGACCAAAAGCCATCGCGAACTCCAGGACTTTCTTTTGAAGGTATTTATTTGTTTGCTCCGCTTTGAAACCACAGCTGGCAAAGCAGGTCACATTTGTGTAAATCATATCTGCTTGTCTTTATTTATTTATTTATTTATTTATTTTTTAAATCTAGGTTTTTATGAAGAGTGGACTCCATGTCCTCCTGTTCTGTATAAAATAAATACATAAAAGAGAAGTTTGAGAACGTTTGAAATATTTTCCCCCTTTCTTGTCTCGTCTGTAGCTGTGTAAGGAGCAGAGCGCAGGAGGTTTCGAGCAAGATGTTATCGGATTACTGAGTCGGGCCGAGGGCGGGCGCAGAGATCTGGAGAGAAGGCTCAGGTGAGTGTTCCCTTCAATCCTGCCTCTTTCCATCAGTCCAAATCCATTTGTATACGATTTCGATTCGTAAGCGAGTTATTTGACCGCGATACGATCCGGTTCAGTAGTTCAGCTTCCGAGACGTGATGAAGACCTAGAGAAGGACAGTTTGGGGGGGGTGATATCCGAGTTAACGGCAAACCACCTTAGTAGTGTATTATTAGTCCTATCACAGTGTTGGTCAGCTGTATTTGTTGGCCTTGTTTGCATTTTTAACAAGTCTGTTTAACTAAAAGGCTTAATTTTTAGTCCGCAAGAACAAGTATTCGTGCCACAGTAGTGTTTAATCGCCAGGCACATGGCAATTTCACCGTTTTTTTAAAAAGAAAACCGATGTTCTTGATTGATTTGTAAAACAAATATAATAAGTTTTAAAATCAGCATTGTTTGGGTTGTTGTTTTATTAAGTTGTTGTTGTTGTTGTTTGTTTTTTTTTCATTCACGTCCCGTAACTAATCGACGGATAGTTTTTCAAATCGATACAGAATGAAAACATAAATATTAATATGTACGGACTTTTAAGAAATAGTAAAGTAAATAAAAGATACACGTCCAAACTGAACCAAAAAGTAGCGCTCTAAATAAATAAATTGAATCCAAAAACACTTCAAATAACACTACAAAAATTTCTCAGTGAACTGCCGGTCAGATCGCCGCTCTCGTACAGGTGATTCGCCGCTCTCGTACAGGATATAATGAAAGCAGACCCTTCTCCGCCACTCCCACAACGGACGCAACCGGGGGGGGACGGGGGGACGGTGTGGAATCTCGCAGATAACCGAATATTCACACATCCGACCGTATAGCGAAGCACGGTGGCGATAGCATCACGTTGAGTGCTGGACCCTTGGTTGCTTCTCTGACTGTACGCCGTCACTGATGTTTGGTGGATGGCCTCATGTAGGCAGAGTCGCAGTTCTGCCATATTCTTTCCATTTTTAATAATGGATAATAATGGGATGTTGAAAGTGTGATATTTAACAAAACCGCACTTGATGCTACTTGAAACTAAAACGCTCAGGGCTGGGGTTCTTGGTTGTATTGTCTTGCCGGTCAATTTATGGGCACGCCCACGTTTTTACTACTTAGCAAAAACAATTACGGCACAGTTTAGTGCTAAACCGCTAACATCACCAGATACTAGTGTTTGGGGGGGTGTACAGTTATGCTGGAGAAAGAATAAAACGAGTAAATCTGGGAGGTTACATTCCAACTGCACATCTGTAACTGCTGGGAAAGAAGGGAAAGTGTAGATGTAGATTCTATAAGCTGTAATACTATAGCCCTCAAGTAAACTACACTGGATTAAACACTTCTGACCCTTCTGCTGCTTATAAACTAGACTATTACTGATTTTAGTTCATCTTATTATTCGAACCTCACGTCCATTATTCGAAATTAGCTTGTGTGCTCACGTCTTCGATTCGGGTTTCTCTGCACTGCACAGTACAGTACAGCATGCCGTAATTTGCATTCGTGGAAATAGCTTGCCTATCCCTTTTCGCAGTAGTGTTTATTTCCCCTCATATACCAATGGTCCGGACTGTATATACAGCGTGCACATGATTCTAAAGAAACACAAACGCATTTCCATGAACTGGTGCGGCTGATGAAAGTTCGAACAGGAATGTAGATCTCCAGCAGAAATCCGCTCTCTCTGTGTGTTTATCTGACTGCACTAACAGCTACAGCTTGCTGCCTGTCCCACATAACTCCATTTTATTTTGTTTTTTTTAATTCATCAGAAGCATTGAAGGCAGGCTTGGAGATGGTCTGCTTTGTGTCGTGTAGATCAGAGAGGATGATTCCGTGTAGATGTGAATGCTTTGAGGATGCACTGCTTTGTACAAGTGGCTGGTTGGGATATTTAGGTCAGCAGGCCCTGTGTGTGTGTGTGTGTGTGTGTTTTGTTTGTGTGTGTGTGTGTGTGTGTGTGTGTGTGTGTGTGTGTGTGTAGGGTGGGGATTTATCTTCCTCTGGTGGGAGTGCTTGTCTTACGAGTGCATCGTTCGCTCGAGAGTAGATCAGTCCTGAGGGAAAGCAGAGACTGGCAGCGGGCTACACTATTAGCTCATGGAACCATTTAAAATCCTTACTGTGTGGCCCTGCGTTCATGCTAAAAAACAATATCCGTGGATTGATGGGTTTTGCTGATTAAGTAGCACCGATAATCGATTGCAGGAGCTATCGCATATCTGCAAAAATCTACAGTACACTGATAATATTTCCCGGTTGCGTCCATCAAGGGAGTGGCCAAGACGGTTCCGCTGTCGTTATACAGTACGAGAGCGGCCTCTAGAGGAG